GCCCTGACAGACAAGGGAGCTTTCAGGGCTGTTGGATTGCTCGGGGGCGGGGGGGGGCAGATTGTTAGGAGGCAAATAGTCCTGGTAAGAGTAATCCTACAAATGGAACAGACAGTGTGTGTAAAATGGAGCTGAAGTTTTTAGACGTTAGATTCAGATTTGCTAAATCAGCAATGGTGAAGTATTGTCAACAGAGACAAATTTGGCATTGACAGAGATTTGGGGTGGCACCAACGATATGGGTGCAGCCACCAGATGGGCTGCATTGCTTTACAAATTGTTTTGCCATATCAAAAATTTCCTACCAGAGAGCTAAACCAATGAAAGAGTGTGTAAGGAACAGTTTTGCTTTTAATATGGCCCAAGTGACCTGACGGCTATTTTCCATCTCTAGCTTCTGTATGCTTTTGGTTTAGGGAACTGTAGTAACTGCCAGCATCTGCTTCTATCTGCTTGGGAGTTGGTTTCATTTTGGGTTTGCATATCAACTACTATGCTCTATGTCTGCGACTTTTAACTCCAAGTATCAATCTCCGTACTAAATCATCACCAAGTAACCTTCCATTCTTCTTTTCCATGATGCCCATCTAATCACCAGCTACGAACACACAGCTCCTGCGTGCATGCCGTCAGAATGAGTCTGAGCTGCTCAAACCTCAACTCCAGCCTGAACACAAATTTTTGTCTCTGCAGGAATATCAGGAGAAAAAAAAAGTCACCAGGGCTACCAGTTCTCGTTATTGTTTGTATTTATATTTTTGATTCAACTTCTTTTCTCCTTGAGGTTTTGATTCCACCAGTTTTGTTTGGGTTTGATTGGGCTTGCTTTTTTTTTTTATTGCTCTCCCTCTTCTCATTTTGTTTTCTCCATTCTTTCATTGGAGGCAATGAGCCGTCCAGCGGTCGGAACTCCCCTGTCCCTTATCGGCCCGACAGCCGCCCTCTCACTCCAACTTACGCTCAGGCCCCTAAACATTTCCATGTTCCAGGTAGGAGCTGGCACTGTATGTGTCTCGGTGTCCTGTCACAGTGTAGAATGTAGCCTTTGTAACTTTTGTCTTGTCTCCATTGTTTCGTGCTGTTTACCATGGGGTGCGCCCTCAGGGTTGGGAACTGCTCCTGGCCTTGCTGAGAGGAGTAGTGCGGCAAGAAATGGGAGGGGGGGTGTGTTCATTGTGATTTTTACCTGTTTTGTTGGTCAGGTAATTCACTGTTAGAATGTCTTGGTTTTCAGGGTCTGTTGATGGCCTGTGAGCTGGATGTGAGCTATGTAGGGCTTGATTTTTCTCCCAGTTGCACCAGCTGAGCACCAGCATAACTCTGCTAACTTTGGAGGACCTGGTTTTGACTCACATGCAGAAAAGAGTTGACTAGTGAGCCATTACATGTGTTGTTCCTGCAGATTGTTGTGAGTTGTTTCAGTGTTGAACCCAACAGTTCTAGTTTAGTGTTCCCTTTTTTTTTTTTAAAGCAGGTGAGGATGGTTTTTTACTTGTTTTGTGCAATGGCTTGGTGTCCTCAGAGAGACCTGCAGATCCATAAGGATATGTATGCCTTAGGATGTCCTCTCTATAAAGGGCAGTCTGTGTTTTGAAGTGAGCTGCACAGTTCTTCCAGCGTCTGAGAGAGTCATCTGTGTAGGATTTTGATGGAATGAGAGTGTATGTCCCTCGGCCGTGGACATCTTCTGACTGCATTAGTGCTAGCTGAAAGCCCTATTATATCCAGTTATTCTTCAGGTCTCCTTCAGTCTAGTATCCCTTCGCACTGCCAGAGGTTACTGGTCTTCCTCCTTTCCTCAGATCTGGCAGATAAACTGTTTGTGGGAACTTCCCTTTCAGTCAGTGTGACCTGGCTTGGCTAAGGTAGGCTGTTTTAACTGCTTAAGCTAACCTGGCTCACTTTGACTTGCATAAGCTAAAGCGCACGTGCATGAATAGCTCTGAGTAATAATCTCTAGCATGGTGGGAGAGCTGTCCTCTTCAGCTGGCACAGTTCAGCCACAGAAGGAGCTCTGTTCCTATCCTCCTTATAACTTTCTGGTATAGATGTGCGCAAAGTACTGCATGACTACCTTTGTAATGTTTATACCTATTTGCTGGTCAAGTATCCATAACAGATCACTAACAAGAATGAAATACGTCAGTGTCTGTGTGTGCAATGAATTTGCTTGTTTAGGCAAGGATGTAGGGTTCTGCAGAGTAAGATTTGCCTCTGTTTCAATAGATTTTTAGGGTTAGCTTTCCTTAATGCCAAAGGCTGGGTTGTCTCCTGTAGCACTTTAATTGGATCTGTGATACGCAGCATGTATTTCTAGAATGCTTTTTCATCTTTCATTCTAATGTAACTGAAAACTTTTTTCAGGCAGTATGAAGTAGCAAAATGGGTTTCTGACATTAATTTTCTAGTTCCCAGTAGCTCATTTTGGTCTTCTAGTAAGATTTTAACAGATTTTTGCACTGTAGCACTGATTTTGGGTTAACTTTTGTATTTGTAGCTGTGCCAAATACATGAAATGTTGTCTTGGGTGGGAAGGTAGTTCAGAACAAACTGGTTCCTGTCTTAAATGATTATTTGTAAAAATACAGTATCTTTTAGACATGCTGTAGATCTACTGCATTAGAATTCTAGGAAGTCTTTTTATTCTGATTTACATTGATAATATGCAATGTGGTGGGCCTTACATTAAAAAAATTACAAAAAAGAAATAAAAGCTATCCTTGTGGCTTGAGAGTTAGTAGTATATCAGTTAACGGTTTATAAAGCATCCTTTTGACTCACTGAGGTGTAGGTGTTGTCGACTGTTCAAAATAGTGTATTAGGCAGTTATTTTGTTCTCTGGATTTTGAAGTGAATTGTAGGCTCACTGCATTCTCCTCTGCTCAATCCAGCCAGTTGGAAAGAAAATTGAGCTGTTATGACGGAAGCACAATTTTCCACAGAAGTTATTTGGGGTAGTTTTCCCCAAATGGCTTGTATCTTCACCATTGAAATGTCTTGCTTGTTTGCATTTCTTCTCTAACTTTTATCCCACTGATAATCTTTTGAATGTTTAAAATAAATGGTTCATGACTTGGATGCATCCTCATGTTACAGAATCAGCTCCAAAGGACTTCATACCACATGTCTTTGACTTTTCACTTGTTCTTATGTTTTCTTTTCTTTAAATAATCTGATTTTGTATAATACTAGAAATAGCTTTCTGGCTTTTTCTCATGCTGCGTCCTTGATTTGGTCTGTCTATTGTTTTAGTGTTGGAGTTATTTTTATTTACAACTGAAGTAGTTTTCATATTCCCATTTTTCTGTTTCTCAATTTCACAGATCAAGGTGTCAACATTTACAGAAAACCGCCCATCTACAAACAACATGGTAAATGACCTTTCCCTTTTTATTTCAAAACTGAAGTGTCAACTAAATTAAAAGGCATGCAGACTAGTGAAAAGCATTCAGTTTTTACTTTGTGACCATAAAAAATTAGTAATCCAAGCTTGAAACAGCTGTTACTGCATGTCCTGCTGAGTGATTATGTTTTAAAGCATGATGTTTCCTTTCGATCATCTGGTTTAAATCTTAGCCACATTGATATTAATGGCAAAATTGCCATTAACTGGGATCTTGCTGTCTCTCTAGCATTATGATACCTTCCTGTATTTCACTTCTTGAAGTTTGTATTTTCAGAATACAGGTATTGATCGTGTTAAAATGGATTAATAACAGACTGTTCCCTGACAGGGACTTCATGGAATATCCTTATTTTAAACAGACGAAGTACAATAATTTATTTCAACAGCAAAGACAGAGATGTTATTATCAGACTGGAATTCGAAATATACATGTGGCTTTAATTAAGAATCTTTAATTACTGAAGATAACATAGGTGACTTATCACTGACAGGACTAATTTGATTCTCAAGCCTTGTGATATAGCTCAGGTAGTACACTATACTTGTTTTTCCAGGTATTTGGGTTCTGAGTTGGACAGCCGTGTTAGTGCTGTAATCTTTTTGGTGTAGACGATGTTATAGCAAGTCTGAAATAACAATGATGGCAGAAGCCCACTGCTTTGCCAGTCTTTAGTACTGCAGAACGAGGTCCTGGTTATAATGGAGCATGTTCACTCTTCCCTTCTGCTGTGAATAGAAAACTTTGAATAGGAGATGATTTTTATGTAATGTGGTGACAGATGGATGACTCCACTTTTTAAAGCCTTTGAGTTTGCAAGCCTTTGCAGACCCTTTATCCAATCAAATGTATTTAGGGTTACATAGCAAATTAGCAGTACCAGGGTTTAAATGAACAGCTGGCTGAGTGCCACTGAGCTGAGATGATCAGGAAAGCCCGGGAAGTCCATTCTGTAGTCAGGAGTGAGCATTGCAAATAACACTGCTATGGTATTACATCAGGGTTTTTTCCTCTTTCTTTTTTAAGTTTCAAACCGTATGCTCATTTTGGAAAAAGTCTTAACATTATTTTTGTTTATTTTTATGGTTTTAATGTATCTCCTCACCTCCCATTAACATGTGAATGTTTAACCACTGACATCACCAATTCTAATACGTAAGTACTGTTTGAAGTCATGCTTTTGTAAACTCTGACCAGCTTCCTCCATACCTGTAATTATGCTTAGAGTTTCCCCATCATAAACTGCTCAGAATTCCCAATGATATCTAATACTGATGTTCCTAAACTACCCTGAACTTGTTGGATCAGCAACACAGTGCTTCACTTTGTTAACAGATTTCTTTCTGTTTAAAAAAAAGAGAAAAGGAAAGAAAGTCCAGAATCTTTGCTTCTGATACAATAGCTTCACATAAGAGAATGTGATTTGAGCTAGCAGTTTGCAGATAAGAGGTAGTTAAGGCTGGTTTTAATGTAAACTGAATCCGATTGGATTTTTTTTTTTAATGTCAAGAAGTGAAAGCCATAATGCACATGCTGACATGCTTTTAAGAGTCTTTGGCTTAGACTGGAATCTTAAATGGATGCCCAACTGCTGAGATAGTTTATTGGTGAAGCTCATTTCATTGCAAGTGCCTTTCCCTGCCAAGTTGACCTGAATGGAATTTAGTATTTATTAATAAATTCACATCTACTTTTACTACTACTGCATGCTAATAAGCACGGCATGCAGCTGAAGAAATCCACTGGTTAAACAAGCGTATTGGTTTCAGATTTCTTTTTTGTTGATTTTGCAGCTTTTCACAGAAACATAGGAAATAAGTAGCGTTAAAATTAGTGCTGTTCCTCTGAACTATTTGGTTCTTTGCCCTAGAGGGAAGACAGATCACTACATAAATCTAGTTTCATCTTCAATAATAATCAGCTGCCCTTAGGAGATACTGGCAAATACTGTTAGATTGAATTTTCTCACTCTTGTCTAATCATTCTAACACTCTGCAACCCTTGTAAAATCCAAAGCTGATTTGGGGTAATTTTGGGGGTGGGGAGGAGAGGAAGGTTTGATCTATTGGCAAGAGAAAGACATTACTTTGCTTCAAATTGCAATTAGAAAAGCAAAACATGAAAATGCTTGCTTTTGAAAATCAACTTCTTGTAAAGTATAAAATTTTGCCAAAATAAGGAAGACCTTTATATTGGTACAGATTATTACATAGCTAAGTTCCCTGATTGCCATCTAGATGCAGCTGCTTTGGCAGCACAGAGCAAGTCCTCCGAGGATATCATCAAGTCCTCCAAGTTCCCAGCAGCTCATGCACCAGCACCCAACGAGATACCAAAGATTGAGACGGACCACTGGCCAGGTCCTCCCTCTCTTGCGGCCATAGGTATGCAAAAAAAAATTATACAAGTGATGCGGCGTAACAGGTACTGGTAACCGAAGTAGATTAATACTGGAGCTGTAAAAATGGCTAGTGAAGATTGTGTCCACTCCAGGTGTTCACCAGTGCAGTTCTTCTGGTGAGACCTGCGAGTGTCTGTGAATTTAAAACTATTGAATAGCACTGAGTGGAAGAGGTTTTGCTAAAGGACTTTGGAATTGATCACACAGATATTAACCCATAAACAAGTTAAGTGAACTTCCATACAGTAGCTTTAAAAATGTGGTGTGTCACACAAGCCTGACTTCTTTCAGTTATTGTCTATTTAATCTTTTAGTCCTAAACTAACAGGAAATATTCCACAGAAAATACAATTGCTTCCAACCAATGACTAATTTCATGGCAAGAAGCAATGACTGAAGAGAAACAATTAATGGATTAAAAAAAGTCCTTATTTTCAGTTACTGTTTCTACAGACTTTGTATGTTGCTTCTGTGTTGTAGCACTACAGATATCTTACTTTCTTTTCTTTAAGTCATATGCATCATCATTTTAAATTTTTATTTGTTTGTTTTGTAATTTTTTCCCTCTGTTAATTTTCATTGACCACTATAGCATAAAATAAGCTATCTAGCCTGGTTCATTTATGAAGTCACGTCTGAAACAATAGAAGTGCTGCCTGTTTCAGGTTTCTTTGAAGGAGAGTGTATGGTTTTCATCGCAATGTAATTTTCATAGAAGTGCTGGGAGAGGAGACACAGGGTGGGAGAGCTTAGTGACCAATTGAAGAAGCTGCATATGCAGTGGCAATTTTTTGAAAATGTCCTTTATATAGGATTGCAACCTGACAAACATTACAGCCACAGGGAATAACATCTGCGTCCTTGAAACTCTCCTGACAATGCTTGTGATAACTACAGCGTTATTATGTCATATGTCTGAGGTAGAGCCTTTGTTGGAAATTTTGGCTCTCAGCTCAGTATCTAGCCAGTGGATGAAAACTTTTAATTGTTTCCAGTAACACTACTTTGTATATTGGCTATCAGGTGATTTTTGTTACACCTGAGAAATTAAAAATGAATGTTGGGAAACTATAAAGATAAAAATGTACTCATGGATCTATTTTATTCAGAAATAAGAAGGCATCGTACAAGATTAATCACTAAAAAACAAACCCACAAACCCCAGGTTTTTCGGCTTGTCTGATTTTCTGAGTCTGATATTTTGCTTACAGAGCTAGAATGAGCTCAACTGTCAAAAAAAGAAGTATTACTGTTATTGTACTGAAGTCTTGCAAAAGACTGAGATACTAAACAAAATAATAAATAATTTAAATACAAACAAATTATTTCTCCATAACTTTTTGTCTTTCTCCGTATTAGCACCAATTTAACACTGCTGTACAAAACATTTAATTGATAGAAACCTTCTGATACTTTCATTGCAAAATGTAGTTTTCATTCAGATCAGTTGCTGAGTTTGTCTAGCATAGGATTGGTGAATAACTATATTGGGATGTAGCCTGATAGAAAAAAATAAAACTGCTGTGTAAATGCATCCAGTGTATTCATGGAAGTGTCCTAGTGTCCAAACTGAACTATTTCTTAAGAATATTCAAGAAAATAAAAATTATTCAATAAAAAGGAAGGAACTAATATGTAGAGCACCTATGTCTTAATTAATTTTAGCTTTATCAAATGGAGAGTTTACTTTGTTTCAGACTAAAAATAATGCCTTATTTATTCCAAATATGAGTGTCCATTTAGGAGATTAATGTATTTTAATTTTCCATTTGAAATGTTTATTCACATTTGCTTTTTGGAGTCTAGATGAAAGCATAAATGTAAATCAGACTTTAAGTTTTCAGCCAATGATACAGTTACTGGAAACCCCATCTTTCCAGAACTAGCAATCTGAGCTCCTTTTTTCTACTACATTGATTCATGGCTTTTGTATCCGGGACCATTGCTTAGTTTGGAACTCACGTGCAGTTTAAGTTCTTGTTAATTTTATAAGAAGCCTGATGACCATAGGGCAGGCTATCTGGGTGAGTTTTATTAAGAGTGAGTTTTGAAAAAGCCTTGTGAGTCTGCAAGAAAATACCACTTTATTTATTCAGTAAATCAGACTGACCAGTACTTTGAACTAGCATTGAAATCTTCAAGCTGCAGTTGAACTGATACACAAAGCTCTTTCTGTACTGTGGTTTTACGGAAGCAGGAGCTGACATGAGACGCAGATCAAGTGGAAGAGAGGAGGATGATGAGGAGCTGCAGAGACGCCGGCAGCTGCAGGAGGAGCAGCTCATGAAGGTGGTTATAACCTTGTCTTTATGCTGTTTCTGAACACCATCCAAAAAGTGCTCCTTTGTTTTCTGTAAGCAATTTCTACTAATGCCTCGATCAGCTTTGTTTTATTGATATTTATTTTAATTGCCATTTATAGCTCAACTCTGGTCTGGGACAATTGATATTGAAAGAAGAGATGGAAAAGGAGAGTCGCGATAGGTCAGCCCTTTCTGCCAGTCGTTACGATTCTCCAGGTAATTCATGTAGGCAATAAAGCTATTAATAAACGGTGAATAATGAACACCACATATATACAATTCAAGCGGTCTCCCAGAAGAGAGACCACTGGGAAGATCACTTGATATGTGTGTATGTGGTGTTCTCCCCTGAAAGAGTGGCCTACTTCATTAGCTGGTTTTGGTGAGAGGAGGAGGGTTGTGGTTGTTTTTTAATTAGAAGAAACTGTCACATCACATCACACATATGCTAATAGGCTGGGTTATTAAATTACAATAACATGTTTTGCTTAAACTGGTGGTTCCTATCGCTGTTTAGTCTCTCCTCCCAGGGACAGAAGATCAGCAACATTTACCAGTGAGGCTGCATATTCCAAACACAGCCAGTGTTTTGGCCTTGGCTGACATTTTGATTCGGTGTATTCTGTTCCAGAGCAAAGGCACAAAAGTCAACTTTGGTTAATTGGTGGCTTAGATTCTTGGCCTCATTGAACATTTTGATCTGTGGCCTTCTTAGATCTCCAGAGAAGAAGGGTTTGGGGGTTTTATTTCACTCTATTCATCCACTGGTCATTGTAGCACAGCAGCTGTACCTCGAGCCAAGAAGGGACAAGATGAGTCTCTTTGGAGTCATCCACTGTAGTAGCTGCCAAGCAAACCAAGATTTCCTTGTGTTCCCTGTTGTATAAGTGTGTTGCCTCTATTTATGGTCTTGGACAGAATGTCTGTGGCTCTCCCTCACTATCTGTAATTTTTACAGGGCCAGAGTATACCTGCTCAACTCGGAGGTTATGATTTTTTCATTAACCTTAGCACAGGTTGGAGGACTCCTGTATTGGAGATGTATCCATCCCTCTTTGCAGTGAAAATCCGTGCAGTTATCAGTTGCCTTTGCTGGAATTAGTGGTACCCTTCCCAAAGCTGCTTATTGCTGCCAGCAACAGTGCCTCAAGTGCTACATTCCCTGCCCTTCTGTGGTAAAAATAACATTAAAAAACCAAAATTTGCATTCTTATATGGAGGATCATGTCTGAAGGAGCTGTATTAACTGTAGAGGTGCTACTGATCATTATGCTGACAATCTTTCTATTTATCCATCTTTTTATCTGTATTTCAAAACACACCCTTGACATTTCCACATTGTTTTTATCTTGCTTGTGCAATTTCTGAGGTCAGCGCAAATGCTAAGTTGAATGCCCCCAGATGCCTTATTTCACTTGCGTTTCAGATGAAAGCAGGAGTCACAGAGCTCTGTTGAATCATGTCATGTTCTCAGAAGTGTCACATCATGTGCAGGATAACTATCATTTTGGATCAGAATGCCAGATTCTCAAACTTGTTTGAATTCACTCAGCACTGCCCATTCTGATTGTTCTCCTGTTGAAGTCAGTACCAAAACATCTGTCAATTACTATGTTACAGGACCAAAACTAATAGCCTTTTCTCCTTTGTAGCAAAAAATGGCAAACTGAAGCATGTGAATACAGAGAGAATGGAGTGAGCTAGTCAAATGTATCTTGGCTTCTGCAGCAGCAGAAGCTGGGAGCATGAGTGCAATAGGAGTTGCAACAGGAAGGACAGAAAAGAAATCCATGAAAGGTTCAGAGGGTATAACGATATGTGAACCATGTGTGCCACTTAGGAGAGTGGAATTGAATGGATCTGCATGGGAGACTTAGCAGGGAACCTCTCCAGACAAATACTGCTGATCTTGTATTCTCCTTGTCCTTTATCTTGGTCCCATCATAAGATGCACAGCAATATTTTATCTAGCTAAGGACTAAAAAGTTATTTTGCTCTCTTGTCTGATCCTTGAGCATTACTTTTAACTCAATGGAGACCACTTTGATTTTGAGCCTAGGAAAATCACCGTGTCCCTTCTTGATGACGTGCCACCATGGCATGATAATGCAGCGTGTAACTTATAGAATGTATGGAAGGTTGTGGTGAGTTTGGGTTGAGATGTTAGTTTCTTAAAGTCAGTGTGTCTTGGTTGTATATATGCTTACCTCTTTTAACTGTGTTTTTTATGCTAGTTGATTCCTCAAATGTTCTTGTTTTTGAGTTTCCATGGGGTTTTTCCAGTAAAAGTTTTTTCCCTTCCTCATTCAACAGCACATGCTTCAGCCTCCAAAACCTCTTCTCTCCCTGGCTATGGAAAAAATGGACTTCACAGGGTAAGGAGATGGTGATTTTGAGAAGTGAAAGGTGGCTTTAATCATCCATGGTATTTATTTCTATATTAACTGTATTGGATTTTCAGTTTGATCAAGGTTTCTTATAAAACCATCTGAAGTCAGACAAAACCTAATTTCCCTTCCCACAAACTACATTGTTAAAAAGGCAAAAAAGCAATGCAAGAAATGATGTGAAAATTGAGGGGGAAATAAAAGGCTTTAAAGCAATTTATTTCTCCACGTATATCAACCTGCTTGTGAAGTCATGAACTGTGAATTTATGTGCATGTCACTCTTTTCCTGTTACAGCCGGTGTCTACAGATTTTGGTCAATACAACAGTTATGGGGATGTGAGTGGTGGTGTTAGAGGTAAGGCTGAGGAGCCTTTTCATATGCCACTTCATTACTGAACATGTTATCATGTTTGATCATTTCTGCTGTTTTATTTTAAGGTTGTGGATGTGGTTACTTTTATTTGCTCAGTACATTTTAACTTCCTCTGGTAAACTCAACAGTTAACTCAAACTCTGCAAATACCTATTAAAAACTTTGGGTTTATTTTTCTAAATCCACTACGTGGAGCTGATCTTTGTTTATGCCAAGGGACTGCTTTAGCATTGGTGCAAATAGAAAGCAGGTAATGTGTATATTATCAGGAATAAGTACTGAGTTCTGTTACAGTGTTTTCTTTCTCTGAAAATTACTTTCCACTGCACAGTCTGAAAGAACGTGCCATGGTGAAGAAAGGAGGATAATGCCTTCTAATCCCCATTGCCTCTCACGATTTTCATTAGGACATTGAGCTAGATGTGATATCAGTCATTGCTTAATAAAAATTGACAATTGATGTTTATGAAAGTTATGAAACTTTGAGAGTTAATGTTTTGAAATGGTTTGATCTGAGAGAGAGAGAGAGGCTAGTTATCTCCAAAGTTAGATTGATCCCAGCTATCTTAGATACCCTACAATCACGCATCTTTGTTGGTGCTTGTGTCTCTTCATAGACCGTGGAGGAATCTAGACAGCTACCTGATGGCAGAGGTTAGGTGAGGTGAATCCTGCTCTACACATTTGAATTCTGGTTGGCTATTTATTCACTTGATCATGGTTTTGTGCTCTTAATATTTCCAAAGTGACTTGATTTTCCTGAATAAGAAGCCTGCTCAAAATGAAAAGGGCTGCAGTATTGGAGTGTTTGACTCTACTAAGTAAGTCCAAAATTAGGAAGGTTGCTGGCCTTGGAGAATCAAGGTGGGATTTTCAAAAGACCAGGTAGACCAAAAGACACAAGGATTATCTGGTAAATTGTGACTGATTCCTGTTCTTCCACACTCTAAAGCTGATGAGATTTCTCTTTTGCTTTTCAGATTTCCAGGTAGAGTACGGGTTTTCATCAATCAACTGACAACAGAACTAAAAGCATCTACTTTCTTGCTGAAGTCTGAATTTCTGCTACAGGGAAGGGTTTCTTAAGACAATAGCTTTGATTTTCCTGCATGTTTAAGCATAATCACCAGTGTAGATTCTTATCAACAAAAAACAGGCACAGCTTCGGATTCCTCCTTGTTACTTCCTCAGAGCTGGGTTGAGACAGCTCACACCAGTTCTGTGACTTGCTCTGTAAAATCCACTGTCTGTTGATACGTGAGTTGTCTGTAATAGTCCTCTCTGGACAGCTGAGGGTGGATTTATTTCCAGCCTCTCTAGTACTGACCCCAGAGACATATAGAAAGTCTCTTCTGGAGGCAATTTTCTCCCATACCTGGAGCCTTGAACTGCTTGTTTTTACCCTGGAATTTGCTCTCCAGACAAGATGGCTGATCAATAGTTTTCTACAGTGCTGCCATCACAGAAGAGCCAGTAAGAGGTGTGCTTGCAAATATAAACCCTTTTACTCCAAATCCTGTCTGTAGGGTTTTTTCCAGAATGGTTTGAGTCTGGCTGGCTCCTCAGCACAATCGCAGTGTGAAATGGCAATGTAAGAAGGGGTTTAATTACTTGGATAATTTTGTTAATGGTGTATCAAAATCATGATGACTGGAAAGAGAATAAGATTATGGGAGGAGAAAGGAGTTGTCCATGTATTGTGCTCAAAACATTATTTCGTTAAGAGCAGTACCTGTGTCAGAACAGCACCTTTTTACCTTGTCCCTGTTTGTGTTCATAGTAAAAATTTCCCATTGTAGAGACCAAAAAAAAAAAAAAATCCCTTAGCTGATACAGTAAGTGACAGGAAGGAAAGCCCAGAGGTGTAAGAGTGCTTTGTGTGCTGTTGGGTGGGATCTGAATTAATGCTTTTGTGTATTTGTCCAGAGAAGAATCCTACCTAGTCACTGGGGTGGGAAAGGGCCCACCACTCTCTCAGGGTCCTCAGGTCCACCTCAGGGGTGAAGTTGTTACGCTCAGTGGGGAGCTGTCACCAGCTGTAGCAGTGACAGAAGGCTGTGGTGGCAGAGAGGACCGAAGGATCCCTCTGCGTGCCTCAGAGGAGTAATAAATGGTAGCCATGGCAGTGATCTATATGATAAGACTAAATATTAAGACTTGAAGGAAGTCTCAGGGCAAATTCACCTTTGTTTTCACCACTACTTGAGTGCCTTTACCCTCTGTGTGTGTAACCTATGTGTCTGATGTATACCTGTATCTGATGCAGTCCCTTCCGGATGGTCATGTCCCTGGAATGAGAATGGACAGAGGAGTATCTATGCCTAACATGTTGGAGCCAAAGGCAAGTGCAGATGTTATTCACTTTCCTTCAAGACAGTGAAGAATTGACTGTGAAATGCAGATGAAATATGGGAAATGTCTTGGTTCCCTTGTTTTTCTTTATCTCACCTCAGTCCCTGCTCCTTACGTGCCAAACCTCTCCCTTTGTTCTGGACTTTGCCTGTTACAGGTGTTAGTGCTCAGGTAGGCTGAGGGCAGCCCAGGTTGTGCTTCTTGGGTTAAGGAGGCTTTTCTAGAGACAAAATGAAGGTACTGAAGATGCTCAATAGCTAGTTCCCTGTCAAGCTTCCACTAGCCAAAACAGCAGGCCAAACTCGATGGGAAAGTCTCAGACCTGTCAGGTTAGAAAAGTGAGGCAGAATATTGTGGGTCACAACACACTGTTGAGGTTGTCTTAATTTAAAAATAATGGAATACATGGATCTTTGTTTCAGATTGGAAGTTAGATACCTACATGCTGTCTGGATGTGTTCTTTAGCTCTCAGCACTGCTTGCCTGACACTTTTCAATAGTGTTGAATTCCCTATGTAGGAAATTCAGGAGATTTATTGGAAAAAGAGGCAATGTCAGCTGAATATAATTTAAGATATAAATTAAAATGCTTTTGCAGCTATGTCTAGAGATGTCTGAGTCAAAAATGAACATAATATATACAGGGGATTCAACCACAGATTTAAAACTGTGTTTTAAATCTTGTCACTTTCTCTGTTGCTGGTGAACCTTCCAAGAAATCATGATTTTGCCAAAGTTACAAGGATCAGCATTTCTGCAGTTAGGTGAGGAGCTCGTTTTGCAAACCAGATTACTACTTGTGCTTCCCAGTCACCTCCAGACAAACTGTACAAGGCAATAACCCTGGTTTTATAAGCTGAGATCCCAGTGCAATGGATATTAACAAGTGTTTTTATATATTATTTAAAAAAGACCTTGGGGACATCCCCAACTCCTGAGATACTACTTTTTATTCCAAATATTTTTTCTTTCAGTGCAATAGGAATTCTTACAGCCACCACTGCTGTTGATGCACCCAGTGATTTAAAATGGTGACAAATTGGGTGACAAATTCTGTCAGTATTACTAATGATAAAATTTATTGGAATTTTCATGAGATAATAGATCACTTTCTGTTGATGTTAATAAAGGTGATGCGAGACCCTCAGCAGGTGTGAGTTGGCAGTATTTTTATTCCTGTCCATGGTCCAACATTAACTTAAACCTGATAAAGTAAAAGAAGCCAACTCAAAGTCAGCATGAAACACATGGAAAGTGAAAATTAGTAAACTTAAGAATGACCATATCTTACCAAATCGTTCTTCAGAAAGGACAGAATTTGTGCATCCTACCACCCCAGACTGGGACATGCCTTGTTGTGAATATCTAAATATAAAATGTACTTATGACCGTAAATCTTGACTTCAACTCTGCCTGTTTAAATATGAAAAGTTACATTTTAGTTTCCTATGATGCTGTATATGGTAGCTGTTTCCAGTATCAAACATAAACAATGTAATTCAAAGTATAGACTTAATTGTACAACTGTGACAATGTCAGAATCTCCTAAGAATCATATCTTACAATTGGTATGTAAGCACACGTTATTTAAATTATTATTACTTACAATAAACTCAGTGGTGTGTTCATTGATGCCTGAATCTTATTTATTATATTTCTGAAAAGTTCATTGGGATAATTGTTGACAATAGAATGAACTTAATTGCCTAGTACTGCACAGAAGTTGATTAGGTTGAATTTCTTCTGATGTTAAAATAATTGAATTAATAGTATTTGATAATAGCTCAGCTATCTCTCCAGGAGAGTTTTGGTGGTCTCACTCTTGTTCCCAGTGGGCAAGTAAAACAAGACGCATAAATAACAGTAAAGGCTGAGCCAATCACCACAAAAGTCTGCAGAAAAACTTCATTGATTTCAGTAGGGGTTGGACAAGGACCTCACTGGGAATGCTGCTTTCCTACCCGGCAGAGACATGCAGTGAGAAGGGCTATAGAGAGGCTCTGTCAGATGGAACATGAGCTCTCTTAGGTCATACCAGGCATTTATGGAAGTGTCTGCCCAAGGGAGAAAAAAACTAAAAGAGAGTTTTATTTGCCAGGGATGATTCCAGAAACTGATTTTAAGGCATGTCGTTTTCTGAAACCGTTTCTAAGCAGCGTTGTTTCTGTTGGTTAGACTGATTTGAGACCTACTGATGGGTAAACATTTTACTTCAAACAAAGAACCTGTACATGTAAAACAAAAATTATTTATGCATTCAGGAATTTATTATTGGCTGGTAACTGATATGTATAAGTTCTGGACATTCTTTGCAATGTAAAAGGAAATCAAGGGAAATGTTAACATGAGATGTGCTGGACACATATTCTTCAGAAGCAGATGAAGGTCTGTAAGACAAATATGTTTACAAAAGTATCTCTCTTAATCCAAGTCTGTATGGCACAGCCAGAAAGCACAGTGGGCAGTTGTTTCAATTCTTTAACTATCCAAAAAGGCAAATAAAATCATGTGATGAATTCTATTGAATGCAGTGGCTTCCACGAATGGGTATCTTACTTGTTCGGAGTTGCTGCTTTTTATAATGTACTTTCATCTGTTTCATCTCTTAAAAGTCTACTAAGTGTCTGTTTCCTTAGAGCTGTCCATGCTTTGGCAACCATCAGTTAAGCTAATGAGTAACAAATACATTTACCTTAATAAACTTATACATGGATGGATGAGAAAGGATATTGACTAGGGAGGACTCTGTCTGACCAAAGCCAGTTGATGTATTATATGCACCATAAAATTCAGTGGGCTAGGCAAGTACAAAGTGGCTCTACAATATGAGGTAGTTTGATACTAAGCAAGTTCTTGCTATGTCCAGATTGGCTTGTCTTTCATGCAACTTTAGGAAAAAAAGAAAAGGAAAAAAAGGTGTGATTTCCTTTGCAAAAGAAAATAAATGTTTGTGTGGTTATGAAAATGAGACACATTGTGTTCTTTCTGCTTTAGAATATAAATACATCTCTTTTTCCCCCTTTTATACATTATTAACAGATTTTTCCATATGAAATACTCATGGTGACCAACAGAGGGCGAAATAAAATACTAAAAGATGTAGACAGAACCAGGCTTGAGGTAAGAGAAGCAAGTTCCTAAATGCTCTTTCCTTCTGAAGTTGTTTGTTGTTGCACACTTGAAAGCTCAAACACTGAAGTGTGGGTCCTTGTTAGACTGGGAAGATTCCTCACCACAAAGGGGATTTAGAGGGGGGAGGAAGCAGCCACATCTCCACGAACAGTGCTGGGCCAGGAGTCCCACATCTCTGCCACCCTGCCTGTGGACAGAGCTTCTCACAACCCCCTTATGTTTTCAAGCAATTAACTATATACTTGTAAATTGGTAAAAAGCCCAAAATTGGTGAAGTGTTTTGTAGTCAATAGGATCCATATTGGAAAGGAACAATACTTTGTTTGATCTTGGATCATGTCAGCTAAGAGCCAGTGTTGGCTGTCCTTGAGGATCAAAAGTCTAACTTTCTTTAACACATCCATGAGTCCTGTGAGTTAGACTGGCTGATACCCGAAAATATGAGGATTTAAATCTCAGCCAACAAATAAAAACTGTTCACAACTTTGTGGATTAGGAAGACTTAAGCAGCCCAGTGGAAGGCTGGGGATGTTTAAGTTGTTTGTACTTATTTAATCTTCTGTGGAGATGAATGGAAGGGGCCACAAAAATTTGGGTAAGTAGCCATTTATGCACGTTTTTAGACTGTAGATATGTGATCACTAATCAGAATTCAACATTGTGTTACATTAGTGCCGCAGGGAGACACTTTCCCCATCCAGTGCCCTCTAAAATGGCTGAACAAGAAGTAATTTTGCACGAAAAATGTTTCATTGGCAGTAGTGCTGGACAGTTAGTCTGGCCAGACATCTTCCTTCTCAGAACTTCAAACGTAGTATGTCAACCTACAGCCCTTCTGTGAAGCTCTCCTGAAACCCAGTGTCTGTTTGAACTTCCATATGTAAGCAGAGGTGCCTACCTAAAGCCTGGGTCAGGGGCGTGCAGGAGCTGGGTTTGTCCTCTGGTCTATCACTGCTTGTTGGGTGACTTTAGATAAATCATTTTTCTGTCTCTTGCTTATTCAGCAACTGAAATAGTTCTCTTGATTTCCTTTGTAAACTTCTCAGACTTATCAAATTGCAAAATATTATTGATTCATTGAGCGCCTGAATTCATGAGGACTTCGATATATGTTTTGTCAAAGCATTATTATTTCCTGCAGTGGCTCTTACACAGTGACATGAAATCCCTAAGGCACTCCTATCTCTTGTTGTGTCTCTTTGGCTTTGACTGACCATTGCCTTTTCTCCTTTTTTTTTTTTTTTCTTTTTGTGTTGTTTTGTTTTTTTTTTAAAGCGTCACTTAGCACCTGAAGTTTTTCAAGAAATATTTGGCATGACGATACAAGAGTTTGACAAGTTACCTCTCTGGAGACGCAACGACATGAAGAAAAAAGCAAAACTCTTTTAATCTCCCTTTAAACAATCCAACAAAAAATGATGCATAGGATATTGTATCATACAGTCCAAACTATTTGGAAGCAACTACTTATCCACCAAAAAGGGAAAATCACATATAGGCACCTCTGTACACAGCAATTGAACAAGATGAACATTTGCCCTCCTGGAACATAGGGAGAAAATATCTGGGCTCAGAAACTACAATGGTAGCTTTCAGAGGTGTCAACCTGTTACATGATATTATACAAGATAGGAAACTGTTCTGTTCTTCTCCCTCAATGATATTCCCTTTACTTCTTTCCACAATATGATGGACTTTATTGCTAGAGCCAGGAAGTGCCCTTAGGATGCCTTGTAGACTAAAGTAGTTGTAACCACTCCAAGAACTGGAAAAGAATATACATATATATATTTAAAAAAAAATATATATATGTATGCGTGTTGGTGTGTGTGCGCACATCTATTTATATCTATCCATCTATCTATGTGTGTGCTTGTATGTGTGTGTATATATGTGTATATATATGGAGAGGAACATAGATAGATGCTCTGTAGTGAAGGAGAAGCCCTTTGTAACTTATCCACATGGTCACATTAAGTCTTTCACACAACTGTTTCTTAATTGGCACTCTTTTGAAATGGCATCTTCTTTGTCTGATAATCTGCAAAGATAGTCTGCTCACTTACATACCAGTTGAATTTCTGGAAAATGGACTCCGTGTATATATTTGCTAGGATATAGAAAGTGAATTGCTGTGTCTGTTGTCAGTCTTCCTTCTTCCACGCTTTCTGCTTGAATTAATAAGGCTGGAGCTTAACCAGTCCTTTGAATAATTTAAGATCATTTAAGTAATGGGAATGATGGAGAAGAGTCAGTTTTCTTGTAATTTAGTCCAGGAGATGGGTGGATTGGGGTGGGAGTGACAGAGTGAGAAAATGCTTTTTTAAGTGTGCCCTGGTTCGCACCCAGAGATTTCGGGACAAACTCCCTGCTAGGCATTACTAGTACAGCTCATCAGACTGCACTGGAGTTGTAGGACTTTACATCAGCAGGGAAGATGGTTCTCTGCAAGCTAACATGCAAATTCATCCCTCTTAGGGAGGAATGTTTATGAATTAAAAGGTACCATCAAGGTGCCATGCTCTGCCAATAGAGGCTTTTTGATTAAATTGCGGTTGCTGTTGTCAATATGGCACAGTGCATGGGGCCAAGCACTCTTTTTAGTTAATGTAGTTTTTCACTTGTGCTTGGAAAAGAGGGCACAGACTTTTTTTTTTTTTCCTTTCTTGAAGCGTCAAAGCTCCAGCCTTGGTTATTTTTATTTCCCTTTGTGCCTGACTTGGTTTTTGAAGACAGAGTAATCATGCAAGACAGTTTCTGAGCTGCATTGAACTTCATATTGCTTTCAGTCTTCTTCCAGTATGCTGCAGCTTAAAAAACTGCCTGTATATACTTTAACTGCTTCTGGGCAAGTCCTATACAGAGGAGGACATGAGCACCAAAGTAATTGAATGAAAGCATTGTGGCTGCAAGGTCAGCTTTTTCTCTTCCTTGGTGCTTAACTGCCAATGCATACTGCACTAATGAGCCCATCTCCTGATACAGGAGAGGGTCATTTAGGTTCTGTGTCTGTCAAAGAATATCAAGGTTTCATTTTTAATGCAGAAACTTTTGGCACTGGAGACATCAGAACCTTTGTATTTTCTGTTATATGAGACATTGGTGTTAAAATCTGGAAGTCAGGAAGGGGAAACTGTCCCATGTAGTTGTGACAGTCAGTATCACTGTATTGAGTTCTCTATATCACTAAATGGCATTTCACCATGAATTGTGCAGGACAGCCTAAATCCTGCCTCCTCTTTGCTGGTTTTGGGAAGTCCTGTTGCAACAGATCATTGTGGTTCCATTGACAGAATCTGAGTTGAAGATTCAGTATATGAGAGACAGGTCCAAGGGGTCAGCACCTGCTCCATGTCCCTAGAGCTAAGGGAATGGTGAGTCCATGGGACAAACTGGAGAATATGCTACCATACAGGTCTGGCATCACAGTCCCCACTGAACAGAAGTCCTCAGTGAACACTGTGACACACGCAATTGTGAGTAAGCTCTCTGGACATTACTGAGATTGCAGCAAGGATCAATTCAACGTGTTTTACTTCATTTTTCAGAACAAGCATCTGAAAGGGTTTTAGAGGAACGCTGGGAAATAAATGGGAATTTTAGGGGCACTGGCAGTTTGACATGTGTTTTTGAGTGCTGAAACCAAATCCATATGATAAGAGAACAGCAATGTTTTACAGTCACAGGCTTTGTCAGTGCTGGAGTCTCAGAAATTCAGTGTTTGTCACCTGCAAGATGTGGCTTAACTTTGAGCTAAACATTTGAGTTTTAATGCATTTGAAGTATAAAAATTCTCCAAATTTTCTCAGCCCACATCCTATAGATGATACTGTGCTGCTGCCTCTCAAACATAGTAGGCATTACAGGTCTTTCAGCCCAAGTCAGCTTGACAATAAACCTTTTTGATCTGAAGACTTACTCTCTCAAGGATGCGAACTGACAGTCTGCATTTTTCTGTCTCCATATCTAGATTACAGTTGAACTTCTCACAGCATATATGAATACACTACCCAGTCATTTCAGAAATGACTAAGCCGGGTTGTTTTCTCTCCTCTCCCTTCTCTCTCAAAAAAAAAAAACCCCCAAAAAAACCCAGCCTCCTACTTCTAGCCTGTGAAGATTGACAGGGTAATTTGTATCTGCCTCATCAGCTGAGAATTTACAGCTGCGATTGCAGCTTGGGAAGGAATGAAGGGAAGCCAGCTTAGATGCTGCAGAAACAATCTCTAACTGGATTTTTGGGCCACTGCTGGTTCACATCTCACTGGTGTGGAGCATAGTCAGTCAGTTCACAGCCCTCTGCACTAGACTTAATACTGCTATATTTCTGATTGAGAGCATGAAGGGTTTTCTGAGCTTCAGTTTCATGCCTGTAGTTAACTCCCCTTAACTATCCCAACCATCTACATGTAGACACACCCCAAGAGACCACCTGTCCATAAAAACCACACTGCAGCCAGCTGCAGGGGTTGGGTGTGTTTTCTGCAGTGGGCTGTTAGTGATTGTCACTGCAACATTTTCTCTGTCCTTTCATCTGGTGTTCCCACCCAATAATAACAGAAATGTAGCCCAAGGGAGAATTTTCTTTGTAAGCAATTAATCATTTTCCTAGTATCAATCGAGTAGCATTTTCTTGGGCAGTTCTTTGTAATTCCCCTTTCAGTATTCCCTTGAGACATGTCAGGGGTTGGACTAGATGATCTTTAAAGGTCCCTTCCAACCCAAACTATTCCATGAATATGCCTTAAGTACATGCTTACATTCTTCTATCTCCTGCAAAGCAGATCCAGTCAAACTCAGTGCCATCAACAGAATGTCATTGCCAAGAGGACTGAAAACTGCTTGCTTTTGTCTTGTTTTTCCCCCTTTTCTGCTTCAGGAGTGATGTAAGAGCAAAGACCTGTCAAAATATTGCAAAATAACCACACATGTGCCAAATGGGATTATGTACACATGCAGGTTCTCAAACACAGCTGCACGTGTAGCTCGTGCATTCCCCATTTGGAGTTGAGATACAGTGCAAGTAGTTAACCTGGAACTTCCAAATAGTAGGTGGCATTGAGTAGATAGTGGTCATTTAAGTTAGGAAGCTTCTCACTTGCATATGTACTTGTATTTGTGAGGCTAGTGGATACCTGTGATGTACTGAGTGTGCAAAAGGCAGGGTCAGTTTCCCACATCATGGAAGTGCCAGGTTGGCCACAAGTGACATCATTTAAAAGGCCGCCTCAGGCGTATGTGAACATTTGCAGCACCCATCCCTGGCAGTGCTTAGATGGAAGGGTGATAGCCTCTGCAGTAGTCTTCATATTAACAGGGAATCCAGAGATCTGACTTACTGGGTTTTGTGCCCTCTCCACATACTGATCCAATAATTTCCATATGAAGAAGTAGAGAGCTGTTCTGCGTTACAGTGGGAACAGCTGGCCATACCCTGTATACCTGTGCCTTAACTTAGTGTAAGCTCCAGCCTGCTGCGAGTCAGAAGTTGAAATAAATAGGTTGAAATAAATATATTGTTCATCATCTCTGAAGATAGGAGAATTAAGCCAACTTGAATAGCAGATTTGGAAATACTAAACTGTCCGCTGTTTCTCAATGAAGCAATGTGATTTATTGTGGCCTCAGTTCAGGAAGCTGAATGTAGCATCTCAACTCTGCCAGTGTCCCATCCCAAACCTGCTAAACTTTCTGTATGACTGGAAGAGTAAGTTCCTGTGAAGTTTGATCAAAGGATTTTTTTTTTTAAATTGTTTGTTATCATCTCATGCTGGTGTCATTTAGGGCAGGTTTGAGAGGCATATCAGAAACACAGTTGTTTTCAGTTTGGTTAGTAACCTTTCATTAAATATGGTTTGTGATGTATTGTGGACATAGCTGAAATGTGCTTTGGAAGGTTAGACTAAGAGAACAGTGAGTTTCTTAATAGCTGTATGTGGGACAAGAAGCTCTGTGGCTCCAGTAGTGCTTCTACTTCTGTTCAGACAGATGTCATCTCTCCTTACAAAGTCCTATAGTCCTAAGTCTGTGGGCCTAGCACTGAAGTGCTTGCTGCCCTTTCCCTGTTGCAATTTGGAAATCTTTTCTCAGCCATGTAGTTCAGATGTCCTGCTATTCAGGGGTGGTCATTAGGGATCTCTGTAAAAGTTTGTTACGCTGAAAATAGACACATTTTCAAGTGAAATCCCTTTCTGCAAGCCATGCTTCTCCTGGTCAGGTAATACCGATGGATGGAGAAGGGTTAAGTTCTGGGAAGGAGGAGGGCTAGCATCAGCTTGATTTCTCCAGGGTTTGCCAGGGTGGTGTATCGCTAACTTAGAAGAGAACGCAGGCACGAGCCTATTTCAAACTGTGGGGAAGGCAAGTTTGGAACCTATAGCTTACGAGCATCTGCATTGAAATTAATGGTATGAAGCTGTTACAACAAGTGGACAGAAAAATTCACCCCCAAAACGGTAAAAGTATGAACATGCTCTAAACTCATCTGGGAATGACTTATCTTGGCTCACCCTGACTTAGGAGGAGATCTTGGCATGTTTAGCCCATAGCCACGTAGAGCAGACTAAATGGAAAACAGCCTTTCTCCCACTCCATGATTCACTGCTTTCCTTTGGAATGTATTTGTGGAGAAGGATGTCCACATCCTGGAAGTTACCTATGGCAGTGAAAAAGACCAGTCAATGATAATGATGATGCAATAAAACACATGCAGGAGACAAGAATATCAGCTAATCTGTCCTGAAATGCCACTCATCTTTCCATGTCAGAGAGACACTTAGGGCTTGACTCCACAGCCCTCCTCCCCATTCAGTTAGCCCCAGGTCATGGTCCAGTTTATGCCCTGTCAAACTTTCTGGCCCTGTCAATGCACCTGCTAGAGTCCAGCGTAGTCTTCAGGGTAGACACATAGCAAAGGC